TCAGGCTAGAAAATTACAGCCAAAAGAACAACATTTCCATGGAGAGAAGAAGGAAAAGGCATTATTATTTATGAAAAACTTAATTGGAAAGAACACACACACTATATATATGAAAATTTCAAAAAGCATAGCAGTATTAGGTAAGGTCAAACATTTTTCTGGAGAAGAGAGCTCTACATACACTTTACTGTTCTTTAGTTGCACCACATTTAACATACTGTGCAGAGATCTGGGGTAATAATTATAAAACAATATTGGTACCACTATTCATATTACTGAAAAGAGCACCACGGATAATTTATAACGCTGGGTTTTATGACCACACCAGCCAGCTATTTATCACTTCAAAAACTTTAAAACTTAAGGATCTGATCAGTTTCAAGACAGTAAAAATAATGGAAAGAACTACCAAAAAATATTCTGAAACTATTTAGAAAAAGGGAAAGTACTTATAATTTAAGGGGAATTCATCTCTTTAAAATGGCCAGAGTCCGTACAACAAGAAAAAGTTTTTGTATTTCAATTTGTGGGGTCAAAATCTGGAACTCTATGAGTGATGAGCTCAAAAAATTTCCAAATATGAAAAGGTTTAAACGTAAATATAAATAAATGATTATAGCTATGTATGCAGAAGAAGGAATTTAAGTTTATTTGTTATCTGAATGTAAACTACACTATATTTATTTTTGTATCTGGCATAATCTGATGTACTATAAGAGTCTGGCAGAAGCACATTATTGCTTTAATGGGATTGTAAAAGGGGGTGGGGGTAAATACGCATTGCTTCTTCCCACTCCTTTTCAGAATTTTTTTTTTTTTTTTTTTTTTTTTTGGAGATTAGTTGTGATGAGCAATGTAAAATAATTGCCTTTAGGTTTCTGTTGATTACTGCATAATAATTCAATTTATCATTTATAGAAACATCTGAATAAACTGGAGAAATAAATGGAGCAACTCTGGCTTCAATTCACTTTGTATTGAAAAAACGTCGTCCTTCTCCCCTTAACTACTGCTGTCTGGGCCCTCATTTCATCAGCTGCTATACCTAATATTGAACATGGCTCCAAACTTGCCCCATAACTGCGAGGCCTCAGTGAGCTTCATCTGACTGGAGCCGAACGCTAAGGGTGACGTCACGCTCCCTTAGTCCACTTCTTTATACAGTCTGTGGGTGGAACAGAGCGTAACACTGGAGAGCTAACTACTCTGCCATTCAGCTTGGCGTCTGTGAAAAATGTCCATGTGGTCTGAGCTGTTTAAGAGAGAAAACATGATTCATTTGTGTAAAAACACTGGGACTTGTGGGTTGGCTGATGGGTTGCTGTAAACATGTTTTATGCCAAGAAGATAACAAAACTCAAAAACATCATAAAATACAATCTTCTAAAATGATTACAGGCAATAAAATACTGAAAAAGCCCACATCATTACATTTGGAGGGGGTTGGCGCTCCATTAAGAAATGAGATCAGAATACATTGAGATCTGTGACAAATTCCATGTTTTATTTCCATGAAACAGAGCTGTGGTGATGCACTGGAAAACACATTAAGAGACATCAGCTTCTCTGCTTCATATTGCTGAAAAATTTTTGGAATTAAAAAAACGTATTGCAATTTTATTTCCCGTGTTTTAAAGATGCACTGGGTAACCTTTCTTGTAGGGGTTCTGCCATCTACTTGTCTATATGTTATTAACTTACCATCGACCGTATAAGGAAGCAGACTAAGGGAGTGTGACGTCACCCATAGTGTTCGGCTCCAGTCAAATTAAGCTCATTGAGGCTGACAGCAGGAAAATAACAAAATAAAAACACCAGGTTCATGTAGAGCAAGTTAATATGCACATTTTAAGATAATAAAGCCTTACATTTGGAGATATTAAGGAATAAAGTCTTACATTTGGAGATATTAATTTGTAGCTTTTTCTATAGTTATAGTAGAAAAGAGTAAACTTATCACTTCAAAACAGAAACCTGGAAAGAGTCAAGTATAAATTCCTTGCATCATATTAGATACTAAAAATATACAAAGGGGATTTTGGGTATCTTATTGAGTATTTTAATAAACTAGGTTTGACTATAAATTTGTCAAATTTAATTTGATTTTTTTGGAGGTAAAACTTTAATAAATCAGACTTGGAATTCAAAGTCTGGAGCGCAATGGTCCGTGCCTTATTGGATTGTTGTGGCTGTGAGTCAGCTGTTAATCATGGCTCCAGGGTCCGCCCCACACCTGGTCGCCCCAACTTGCTGGGCACTGCCCACTCTGAAGGATTTTTCAGGTTTTGCTTAGGGGCGGAGTAAAGCTTCAGGAAGTTATTTAATGGCTCTCTAAGTATTGATTCTTATGTCCTTACGAGGGGAAAATGCATTTTGAGAAAACATCTTTTGAATTTATAATGTCCCATGGCTGCAAGTTGCTTAACTTACATATTAAAACATCTTTCAGTGCAGAGTGGACAATTTTGTGGTTTTCGCATGAAAAATCAGACACGAAACTGACCAAAAAATACAAAATTGAAAAAATTGGTTTTGGCCTGTAGCGTCTCCTCTTAATCACGGCAGCTTTTTATTGCTCAAAAATGTCTTGACCTGCCGTGAGGAGGCTGCCAGATCTGACCTAAAACTTAGCTTTGCAGACTAATGGTGGATACAGTAGTGAAAATTTGTACCAAACATTAAATTACCTAAATAATTTCAGCATTTTCTATGATGTTCAACAATTTCCAAAAAAACAAAAAACAAAACATTTTTGTGTGTTTTGCATCGTTGCATCAATCAGTTATACACTTGTTTTAAAGCTCCTTTGATTTGTGAACTGGGGTGAATGTTGTAAAATGGGAGAGGACAGGGGAGTGGAGCGTCCCCTCTTCTTTTTGCTGTGTCTGATCTGAGTAGACACTTCACCCAGGGGTGGTCTAGTCTCAGAGCGTCACTATAAAGCAAAGAGAAAACACACAAAGAAGGCCTGTCAGAAGTAATAGCAGCAATAGTAGTACTTTATATTTACCATTACTTTATATGAACATTTTGGGAGTGAGGGTTAGTAGCAGCAATAGTAGAGCAATAGTAGTAGGAATAGCAGTGGTTTAGCAGTTAGAACATGTGCCCATTTACTTGACAGTCTGCAGTTCAAACCAATGTCATGCTGTTGTTGTGTCACTGGGCAAGACACCTAAACTCACCTTAACTGCTGTGAATGTGGTGCGTGAGTGACTGGTTGTGGCCCGAGGGACTGATGGAGCAGATTGGCAACCTCGCTTTTGCCATAGCAAGAAGGTTCCAGGTTTGATTCTTAGGTCACCCAGACTTTTCAGTGTAGAGTTTGCATGTTCTCCCTGTGTCTGAGTGGGCACTTTTTTGCTCATCGACCCAAATCATGTATTATATCAGGTCGTGATCCAGACTTGCTTAAGATCTGTAGATGGGTTCCACGGCTCCTGACAGGTTGCCTGAGTGGCACAGGCTGAAGGATGGGTCAAATGCAGAGAAGTCCTCCAGTTTATATGATGATGGTCTAAACAGAAGACACAAAAGTGGCGTTGGGTCTTCACCTTTTATTTGGCGTTTAGATGAGCATTTTCGGGAGGAAATCTGCGTGCATATGGTAACGCAAAAGTGTCTGGAATTTGATTGGGTATGCATGCCAGGCACATTTATGTGAAATAAACATGTACACGACGTGGGCAGATCTGACCAGAGTTTTGCGTCTTGGGCCGTGAAGACAGACTACGGCGGAATATGGTGGAGCGTATTCAGCTTTTCCACTCTGGAGGGTGGTTTCAGATTTTTGCATTTTTAAGCTCCAAAAACGTTGTCACCGTCTAAACAAAAGGCACTTTCGATAAAATATTTTGTTGTGTTTACCCACAAGCATTCTCATGTATAGGCCCTTAATCAATAAAATATACCTTACTGACTAAAGGGCTACTAAATACCAAAATCACTTTTTTCTACTGATTAGATGTGTGAATGGGTCTAAAATAGAAGTGTATAACTATCCCTACTCTAATTTTGGCATTTTAGTGCATATTTGTTAATCGGACTTTTGGGTAAAAAGTAATGTCTGTAAGAGCCTCTTTAGGCTCAACTTCAGCCAGGACATTTGAATTTTTGCATTGGACTAATGGCTGCCAGTGAGTCAGATGCAGGTTAGCCACTGGCGTCTACGGGCAGGACGTGAGGAGCCCCTCTCAGCCCTGCCCCAACCTGGCATTGCTGGTCACCGCGATGTCCCGCCTTGTCTGGAGAAAAAGGAAACGGCATGATCTGAGCACAAATGTCCGCTCTGTTTCAAAATCCATAGAGCACCAGTCTGCAGCATGTTGGATTGTTGCGGCTGTCAATCAGTTGTCAATCATTGCTCCAGAGCCTGCCGCACACCCGCTCCCCACAACCTGTCAGCCACCGCCCACTCTGGAGGATTTTTCAAATTTTGCTTAGGAGTAGAGTAATAAAGGGAGTTTAAAAAAGGCTTTTTAACACTGAATCTGGAGTGAATCACTAATGTGTTTAGCTTAACACTTTGTCAAGGTTTTGTCAAGACAAAGTCAAGGCGATGCTGACTAGAGGCACTCTGTCACTCTCTGTTACTCAATTTAGACATTAATCTGGGCTTTTGACTAGAAAGAGCTAATTTGGCTGGAACTTCAACAGGAGAGCTGATTTGTATTGTTATATTTGTACTCCCACATGTCAAATTACAGTCACAAGCGAGTTAATATTAGCTGACAGTTTTCCAATTAGTCTCTCTCACCTTTTTGTTGAAACTTAAAACACTTAAACAGGACCATGAATACTTGTAATGATCACAGGTTCCTGAAAATAAAATCCATTTTGTATTTTTCTTGAAACGATCTTAAAACTTCAGAGTAGGAGTAGTGGTAGTAGTGGTCCTGCTTACTGCCTATCTTACAGAGTGGGAATAGTAATAGCAGTACAATTAAATAATTCAAACACTTTTACTTGAGTTGAGGGTCTTAGTCTGTTTTCTGTTGCAGGAGTGAACGCCATGCTGAGGAAGGTAGCCGTGGCTGCAGCCTCAAACCCTCACGTGGAGATCCGACAGGACGGAGAAACCTTCTACATCAAGACCTCCACCAGTGTGCGCACCACTGAGATCAACTTCACCATTGGAGAGGAGTACTACGAGGAGACCGTGGATGGGAGGAAGTGCAAGGTAATATCTCAAAATGAAACACTGATATAACACTGATTTATGATAATACATTAGTCTTATATAGAGCTTTTACACAGGCTCATGGTTGCTTTACAATTTTAAGTATTATTCATTCATTCCATTCTTAGTGGGGGTAAGTTAGGCTGAATCCCATTACACCCCTTGGCCATACCACTTGCCCCTACCCCTCTGTTTTGTGTGTTTACGTGTAGGTGTAGGGGTTGTACACTTCAAACAGAGGGTTATGAGCAGTTTCCCAGAATGCCTTGCAAATCACCAGTAAGATGGCTGCTTCCACGACCACAGAGACCAAAGAATCCACAGTTGTAGATGGATTTCTGGCAAAAGCTCATTGCGTCTGCTTATATAAAAGCTGGCAGAGACTACTACAGAGACAACGTATGTGATTGTTGAAGGGGTGTTCCAATTTGTAGGGGTTTACTTTCAACTCCTACCCATTGTTGCTCAGTTTCAAGGGGAAGGGGTATAAATTAGAAATGGGATTGGCCCTTACAATTATAGTCAGAGTTGCTCTAGAGCAGACTTATGGAAGCGAGGCTGCCAACACACACAAACACACACACAGTGTCTGATATCTGACAAGATCAGGCTTTGACAAAGAGGTTTTATACAAACATTAAAGCTGGGGTACCCAAAGCAGCACTTAGTGACAAAATAAGACAGCAGCGCGCTGTTTCTACTTAATTGTAAAACATTTTATTGATCTGGAAGAAAGTCTCAAATGTTGCTAAAACAAGATTTGGGATGATAGTGTGTAATATAGGCTGACGGTCCAACCCCTGCTTTGGGTCACTATCAGTTGTTCTAATACTGTGAATGTGAAAAAATTTCTTCATTGGTTGTCATAGTCATAATTGGCTGCTCTTGTGGCTGACCGACTGGTACACCGAGCAGTTTTTGGGGATTTTGAAGAATGAAGAAGTACTGTTTGTGCAGTTTAAAGGGCAGAAGTTAAGGCAGGGGTCTCCAACCTTTTTACTCTAGTGAGCGACCTTTACAAAACAAAAGTACCAGAGAGCTACTCATTTTAGCAGTCACATGAAATTATGTAAATAAAACAGCCCCTGCCTTAGATGGGGTACAGTTAGATGCTTATAAAACATAAACCATTTATTAGTGCACAAAGTTAGGCATCAAAATTATACACTGACATGGTAATAGCCATTTAATTGACCAAAATTTTATTATTCAGCACAATACATATAATTCAGAAATCCCTTGGCAAGCTACTTGGAATGGGGCGGAGGGCTACTGGTAGCGCCCAAGCTACAGGTTGGAGACCCCTGAGTTAAGGATTATTGGATTGTGTGATTTGAGCAATTTGTTTCTCCTGTATCCATGGCGACCCTGCATCAAGATATCTATGCTAACCCACTAGCTCTGAAATGCTACAGACTTTTTAGAACACTGAAACACAGAAAACATTTCAAGGGACTGTCCCATCTCATCACTGATCGAAACACCATGTGGAGAGAGAGAGGCTTAGAAGAGGCTTTCCTGTTATGTGTCCTGAGTTCATCTCCGCTTGGGGGCTGCTGTGGTGCAGGACACAGTGGAGGGACTTTTGTCCTGAGGGTTATTACTCTCCTCAAAATGCTTTGACATTGGATCTGATGGCTTTATCTGTTGAGCTACACTGAGACTTTTGTTTGAGCTTTTCTATTATGGTTGTATTTTACTGCTCAATGTGCTTAAACAGTAGCCTGATTCATCAGTCAGTTTCACTTCCTAGAAACCATCTGACCTGATTAGGATTCATTCGCTCGACAGTAGGCGGGTACTTTTTATTTATAATTTTTTAATTTGGTCGTGACGTATGGAATGCGCCAAATCCCGTAGGAACAAGGGCAACAACGTTTTTCTCTTTGATAAAATTCACCAAAATTCTCTTTGTTCCGGCTTTAAATCCTCGATCTTGGGAATCATTGCCAACACAGAATGTCTGTCTTTGTCTACATCCATCTCGACCCCTTTGTTTACTGTTGTGCTGTACCACAAAAAGAACCCAGACAGGCGATTGAGTTTGACATCATGACTTCACAGCTCTTCTCTGATTGGCCTGTGCGTGGTCTACAACTTCCGGGGCTCTTGCAAACCGTCGAGTGTATTCTGATTCCTGATCTAGACGGTGGAGAGAAATTAAATTGAGCAGAGGCATTAGGTGTCACCAGCCTGGCTACTGGCTACTTAAATTGCCCCTCGAGATCAAATAAAGTGATAATGACAGATTGATTTATGCGCCAAAAAGTCTAGTATGTGAATTCTTTCAATGTGCCAAAGGTTTGTGAGAGCTAAGAACTGTAAGAAGACAGATTTTACAGACAATAGCGTTTTGTTTTTTTTTATTAATTAAAAATGAGATACCCCAACTTTAATCTCTTATTACTGATCTTCTCTGACAACTTTATGACAACCGTAAAAAAGAAAATTTGAATAAATAAAACTCATTTGCATTCCGTATCAAGTTTATATGGCACAGTCATTACTCACCGTCTGCTCATGCAATGTTTTTATCAAAGTAATTTCTCTCTAACCTAATTTCCTTCAGTGGGATTAGATTAGATCCTTTATGAACACTTAATCCATATAAAACCATCAGATTACACCACGGCCTGTAATGTGAAGACTATTGTTTCTATGGATGGTGCGTTCAGGGCTGGTGGGATTTCTCCTTTACCGTTCCTCCTGAAGGTTGAATGAAATATTAATGAACACCTGGAGTTTGTAGTTGAGTATTGGGGTCACGCTCCGCAGCTGGATCAGGGCAGATGGTGGGACGTCCCAGAGGAGCTGAGAACTTCAAATACAGTCAGCACAGAGGTAAAAGAGGGATCTGACAGGGAGAGGAGAGAGGGAGAGAAGAGGGGAGCGATGAGGAGCGGTGAGGAGAAAGAGGGAGGGACAGGAGAAGAAAGGGAGAGGAGAAAAAGAGGAGAGGAGGAGGAAGAAAGAGACAGAGGAGGAGGAAGGGAGAGAGCAAGGAGAGAGGAAGAGAAGAGAAGGGGAAGAGGAGAAAGTGAAAGAATAGAGGGAGCAATAGGAGAAGAGGCAAGGAGAAAGAGGGAGGGACAGGAGGAAAAAGGGAGAGGAGAGAAAGAGGAGAAAGGAAAAGGAAGAGAGAGACAGAGGAGGAGGAAGGGAGAGAACAGCGAGAGAGGGAGAGGAGAGAAGGGAAAGAGCAGAGAGAGGGAGAGGAGAGAGGGCATTACAGGATGAGAGGTGAGAAGAAGGAAGGAAGGAGAGGAGAGAAAGAGGAGAGAGGTAGAGGAAAGAGAGCGACCGATGGGAAGAGAGTTAAGGAGAAAGAGGGAAGGAGAGGAGAGAGGAGGCAGAAGAGGGAAAGAGAGGAGGAGAAAGGGAGAGAAGGGGAGACAGGGAGAGGGGACAAAGGGAAAAGGAGAGACGGAGAGGAGAGAGGAAGCGACAAGAGGAGAGGTGAGGAGAAAGAAGGACGGAGAGAAGGAGAAAGGGAAAGAAAGCGGAAAGAAGGAGAGGAGAGAAGGGAAAAAGGAGAGAGGAAGCAAGAGAAGGAGAGATGAGGAGAAAGTGGAAGGGAGAGGAAGAGCGAGGGAGAGGAGAGATAAAGGAAAGAGGAGGAGAAAGGGAGAGAGGAGGGAGAGGAGAAGAGGGGAGAAGAAGAGGAAAGAGGGAGCAAGAGGAGGAAAAGCGAGGAGAAAGAGGAAAGGAGAGGAGGAAGAGAGAGAAGAGGAGAAAAGGAAAGAAAGAGGAGAGAGGGAGGAGAAGAGGGGAGAAAGAGGAGGAGAAAGAGGACAGAGGGAGGGAGGACAACACCTGGACAGAGGAGAGAGGAGAAAAGGTCGAAAAGACTGAAGTTAAACGTGAATTATTCAAAATCATTTTTTGTAGCTTTCTACCATGTTATAACACTGTTCCCTCATCAGTAACATGCCTGAAGAGCTTTGAGGTCTTCCATGCATATTTGAGTAATCTAATGATCTCTCTCAGGCCCTATCCAAACCCTCCTATACAATTAACAGTATGATTCAATATTCAGCCCACAAGCCTACACCACCCAAGATCATAGACAAATATACAAAAATATATTACAACAACTTAACAAACCTGGTGCGATGTGCAGTAGTTTTATTAGTGGGATATAAGATGTTATAAGTGTTGTGATAGCGCTCTGAAGGGGTAGTGACTTAATACGGGGAGCAAAGGGAGGGAAGATTTAAAGCATCAAAAACGAAATACAAAATAATATATCTCACAAATATAGACTTTGGAGAGATGATTTCCCGAAACCAGCATGAATGAATCTAAAAACACTTCCAGGTTTGGACACAGATTTGGTGGATGGAGAGAAAACATGTCCAGTATTAAATATTCAGTTGCAGCATGTTTATCTTTCCATGTTTTGAAATGAGAAACTCGGTTAATACACTTACACAAGGCTGAAGAGACACTTACCACATCTTCCTCTGGGCAGATGGACTGGTAACTGAAGAGTATTTCATAGAAAGTAAGCAAAGGTTACAGAAGAATATTACTTAAAGTTACAGTATCCCACTTTAAGTCAAAAATACACTGAAATAAAAGCATGTCTATGATATGGGCTTGCAGCTTCACAAATCTGAAGCTCTGTCACCTGCCTGTCCCCAAGGAGATTTATAAATGATGATCCACAGGTTTAAACTTATCAACAGTCTGTCCTCTGATCTAAAGGTTGGTGGTAGAGCCCTGCACTCCCGAGGGTCCTCCCTGACACAAAACAGTGCGGCACAGGACACATTTTGAAAGCTCATTGTGGGTGCGGGCGGGAGCGGATCTGCACAATGCGGGAGCGGGCGAGTGGGACGATAAACTGCAGTCCCGCAAACTAAATTTGAGTGTAAAGTAAAATATACAAATGATGAATGTAAGCATATCATACATCATTTGTGCTGGATATTTTATTTAGCATTAATAAAAACATTTTAAGCAGCCTAAACTTGCGGATGTGGGCTAATTTCGCACAC